GAACATCCTCATCTCTGAAAGAGTGACCGCTGGCCTGTAAATGAGTGAAAACTGCAGAGTTCTGGCCATTAGATGTAGCTCGTCTGTGTTGGGACATTCCTCTGAACAGTGGCTGCTCATACATCGGGGAAACAAAGCACACATGGAGGCAGTGCTTAAAAGCCTGAATTTAGCCTGAAGATCTCAGACTGAAGAAGTCTCTTGGAGGAGAGACGAAACGTTTCATTAGAGAAGAACCCGTCCAGAAGACCTATACTATTTTTTCTTTATGCAGTTGTAATGTTGAAGGTTGGCCAGCAGATGGAGCAACACTTAAATGTATCAAATGATTCAAAACAGTCATTTCAGCACAAATGATTCATGTTGACTCAAAGCCTCGGTTTATCCATCACTATTAAAAGCTGAGAGTAAAAGTCAGTTAACAAGTGTCTCAGTCTGACTTTAAGTGCTCTAAGATTAGAGCTGATTTGATTTTATTATTAGCTTCGGTTCTACTCAGTTCAGAGTTAAATAAGATCAAAACTGTTACTTGTGTTGTAAAATGAGACATTTACCTTCTGTTAATAAATCCATAACACAAACGGCTTTTCTGACATTTAAAACATTAGATTATATAAACTGTAAAATATTAATTTTATTAATAGTTTTTGTGATTTCTCCATCGTCAGTCCTTTTTTCTCCTCCGTCACCAACATTTGCAGTGATGGTAAATCCAGACTCGGACCCGTTAGCTTCTACAGCCATGCTAACTCCAGCTGTTCTATAACCTCCATGTTSTCAGGTCAGATTCTGAGTTTAGCTTCATTAATAAGAAAAAGAATCAGTTTCCTGAGAGTTCTCCCTCAGCTCCTCCTCACAGCAGAGAAATGCAAAACGTTTGTTTGAAGAATCTGCTCAGATAAGGAGGAGTTTCCTGCTCGTTACTTTTATCTCCTCAGACTCTTATCAGCTGATTGTCTTCATTCAGGCTGTTGTTTTCACACACACACACACACACACACACACACACACACACACACACACACACACACACAGTAATCCTGTTAAACGTCTCCTCCACAGTTGAAAACTCTAAACTCAGACTCTGCAGGTTTTAATAACCTTGTTAGGACCGGCTGGATTACACTCAGATTATTGTGGGATTAAAGGATAAAAACACTTCCTGTTTCTCAGCAGGATTAAATTAAAACACCTCCGCTCGGCTCGTCTGCGGGGAGGAAAAGAAGAGAAAACACTGGTGCATTGTGGGAAATCCTTCATTTTATCTTAAATATTCAGCAGATTAAACCTTTGTTTGTTAAAGCTGCGGGTTTAAAAACAAAAAGCTTTAATCTGAAAGAGTCACAGATTATTCTGAAACAACAAGTCAAACTTTCATCTCTAAACTAAAATAAAACATTTCTTGTTTAGTTTGACATAAGCTGATGTTTTCTAACATTCAGTCTGTGAGTTTAATCTCTTCAGTTTGTTTTTAAAGCGTCTGTTTTGATTCAAACAGCTGAAGTGTCTCAGATAACAGCTGCAGATAAATCAAGCTTCGGCTGATAAAGACAGCAGCTTCAGCTGATAACAGCCTGGTTACGGCTCACAGATCCAGAGCTGAAAATAAAAACTTTACTGACGATGATGATGATGAGTTCAGGAGAAACATCTGAGGATGAAGACAGGAAGTAGCAGTGATGGGAACAGGAAGTGGTCCAGCGTCGGCTTCCTGACAGCTGATGAAGGAGACCACCGGACCTCCACATCCGAGTCGTCTGCAGAACCAGAACTTGATTTGTTTTAGTGACTTTACGTAAAAGTTTAAATCTGTCAGTAACCGTGTTTTCATCAAGGTTTTTAGATGAGCATTTAGAAGTGTCGCATTAAAAACTGCGAGAAAAAAAAGTCGGAAACAGGAAAATTCGGAAAAAAATCTTCAATTCACTAAAAAGTTTTTACGCTCACTTGAGGTGGTTTTTGGATGATTCGCAAAGTAGTTAATGTGCAAAACAGGAGATGGAAACACGTTTGTCGAATAAATTCTGACGTAGCGTATATTTACCTCACGTGACGTTCAGCTGTTTCCGCTTTCCTGCCTTGTACTGGATGTTAGCCCTGCGTAGTTGCTCGTCCCTTTCTGCTGCGTAGTTTAACATTGCGTTTATTTCCCTATGTCTCCTGGCAGTGTTAAACTTAGCCTGTACTAGCTGAATAGATAGAATAATTACAACTTGCCTAATATCAAGGCATTTACGAAAAAAATCGCTCCAT